AACCAAAATAGAAGCTTGAAATCAATCAAAAGATTTGCTAATATCATTTAAAAATCATTTTTCCGATAGAAAACATAAATTTAGAAATTCCACTTTTTAATTAGAATAGTTAAGAGCAATGTTTTAAAAATTATTTTCTTTCAATGTGTGTTTCTGCGTGTTTGTAAATTTATGATGAGGGTTTTTATGAAAAACAAATATTTGATCGTCGTTGTCAAATGATCTTTATTCAAATACAAATATGATATTGCATTTTATTAAACACAAGGTTCCTCAAACATCATAAATTATTCATGACTCATGGTCGAATAAAATACGAGCTTGTTAGCAAGTAAATAGACTTATCTCAGAAGAATATTTCTATCGAATTGTGTACGACCAACCTTAGCATGATAATCATCTTAGGTCATTGATAAATATTATCATTATTATTATTATTAGCATTCTATTCTTCGACAACTTCAAATCACAAAAATCAACAATCATAGTTGCTGTCAGGGCAGTCTAGACGTTTTGGAGACTCTGGGGAAAATCGAAAAACCAGGCTCTTTGCGAGCAGAAAACTTTTGCGACCGCGACCTCCACTTTCGCTTGAAATGCATTTCAGAAAATTCATTTCTTGCAATCATTTCAAATGTTGTGCTATTTTTAAGCATACTTTTGAAACTTTATTTAATCCCATTCTTAAAATTGAATTCGTTGCTTTATGAGCCCCCCTAGAACTTGAGGCCCTGGGGCAGTTTACCCTCCCCCTTGCCCCCTCTCGGCGGCATTATAATACGTCATCATTGATCTTTGTATTCAATCATTGATGATAATAATGGTAATCATAACCACAGTTACCCATCATCACTACCAATCATAATCATCAGTCATTGCTATCAACCGTCATAATGATTATCACCGTGATACTTCATCAACGACGATCGTGATTAATCATGAGTTATCATCAATAATCAATCGTAAGCATCAATCATTAACCATAATATTTCAGCATTAATCAATCAATCGATCACTACAAACAATCAATCAATCCATCAATCAATCAATCAATCAATCAATCAATCAATCAATCAATCAATCAATCAATCAATCAATCATTCAATCAATCACAGTCAATCACAGTCAATCACAGTCAATCACAGTCAATCACAGTCAATCACAGTTAGTAAGAAAGATAAATCTTTTGATTACAACAAATACATTGAACCAAAGTCTATAGGTAGAACGGCGTCAGCAAAATATTTGTCACAATTGGGGCTAGAGAGGGGGGGGGGACTTTTTTTATATTGTTGGCCTCTTCAGTTTAGGATCAGTGGTGCTGGCCCTCCTTTATTCACCACATCATCTTCGTCCACCATTATGTATCACTAGGGGCGATTCATTCTTGCAAATAGCGTACGAGATTTTCCCCTAAAACAAAAGGATTTTTGGGGATTTTCGGATAAAACAATAGGATTTTCACAAAAGGTGTACGAGATTTTCTTAGAGTGATTTGCCCCTCGATGTATCATGTATCATTGACTTGTCAAAGTGAAAACCTTTTCCTCGATTATAATGTTGTACCTTGATGTTCTATCACACAGTTTAATCGTTTTTGCAGGCATGTTGATACAAGCGACCTGAATCTAAAACACGCATATTTCTCGTGTACATAAAAAATACTACATCTTTCTCAAACAAACTTTTTTGTCGATCTGTCTTAATCCGCTAATGATCGCCCACTAGCTTGAAAAAACAATAAATCAATATTTGCCCAATAAATTCTTGACAAACATTGTAAAAAGACACTTGGCGGAGTCAAGGCTAGATCACATCCTTTCTAAACGTTCAAACGATATTTCGGTGGTGCAAAAGTTAAAAATGGCGTTAAAAGCAAGCATAAAGATATATAAACAGTGGGGGGGGGGGTGGGGCTCAGTCCTCAACCCTTAACAAGCCAATATAAATGGTTCAGCGATTTTCTTATTTGAAAATGTGAATTCTCCCTTTATTTTAAGTTTTTTACGACTTTCCGCCAGTAAGCAATTTCCTATCCATCTGTTCGTGTCCGTGAATAACTTGAATGATTTCATCCTTAAACGCAATTGCAAGTATATAGGGCGTGGTTATGGGTGTTTCCTTTATGACAGAATACTGAATGAGAAGGAATACAATGGCAGTCCCACCCTTCCCCAATATGGACTTCGTTCCGACGACACTGGGTTTACCATCCCCTAAGCAGGGAGGTATATTAGCAATTGGCCTCAAAATTAGTCGAATATCACGAACGAATCGAACTCAAGCTGAGGTTCTGGTACTTTAAGATGCAAGACTTTTATCAAAGATATATCTGTCATGACATGCGGACTGGGTATTTCTTATGCTTATCTTGTTGTATAACCCCGCCCTGTTTGACAAACAACCATCTTGAGGGGCAAGTTGATCCATGGAATCTTGTTCATCGTTGGTAGAAATCTTATTGCTTTATCAGTAAATCCCCAAAAATCCTTTTGCTGTGGTGGCAATCTCTACGCTATTTACAAGCGTGAATTGTCCCTCAACACATCAAATTTTGTTCCGTTGTCAAATACTTCCTCGTGTCTAAATTTATAAACCCGTGTGATTGAAAAACAAATTAAGAACAACCCAGACACCAATTTCGAGAAAAATCAAGAACAACCAGCCTGAATTTTCAGTTCACAGACGTATGAATCGGGGAAAAGCTACCCCGACCCTTGGCAATTCTGGCAAGAGTCTGTTCATTAAAAGAAGTGGTTTTCATTGTCAATATGCCTTTATGCCTTAACTTCTCGTCAACATCTGACCATAACAAATGCATCTCTAAATTCCAAACATTTTATAATGCAGGGTTGAGTCTACGGCACATTCATTCGGAGTAGTCGAGAAGGCGGATGCTTTTTCGCTTGAGACCGCCGCGAAGTTCGTCTGATTTGTAAGCTAACCAGTCACTCCGAGCACATACCACATCACGTGAATCATTCGATTGTTTGTTTTTCATTATTGTGGCTTGGGAAAGTTTGTAACCTCTATGATCCGTAGGCGGGGCAATGTGCGAAAATTCTATTTATGACCATAGTTATGGCTCAAGAGGAAACACATCCGGCATGATCCATGTACTGGAATTTTTTGATGTCACTTTGTCACATTTAGAATAGGCCTCAGGTACTATTGTGACGTCACTCATTTGAAATCACTGGCAAGCACAATTCATATTGCGGGCAGAAGGGGGAGGCTAGGGGAGATGGGGAGCTGGGGAGCTGGCGGCCTTAGCAGGCATGTCTAAGCCGGGGGGCTGGGGGCCGTAGCCCCCTCACTTTTTGCTGAAGAACGATACTAATATTGTGCCATCAAGGAGGGTGAAGAAACTACCATATAATTTTGTCAATTGGGCTACAGCCCCCACCCCAAAATGTTTATCGACATCCCTGCTTAGTTGAGAATATAGTATATGCTATTAAGCTCTAAATCATGAACGTAGATTCTTTCAAAGCAAGAATACAGCTTTACAGTGTATCTTTCATTATTTTTGGTAAATGTAAGCATCAGATAAAGCTTGGCAATGTACCTTAAATGATATCGCAAATGCAAAGGACCCTTTAATTCTCTCATTTATATCCTGCGTCTCCCGGCCCCTTCTTTTACCATTTCCATCAGTTTCTTGAAACACTTTTCCAATGTCCTTTGTTTTCTTTCTTTGCTTTCGCTGACGTCATCTGTCTTTCCCTTGCTATCCTTCTCATTCACTTTTCCTTCCTCTTCCAACTTTTCCATTTTCCCCCTCTTTTGTTTCTCTGACTCTTTATTCATCAATTATTAAACCCTCCGGTTTCGTCAATCATCTTTCTGATATGACCTTCAACCTTCTTTCTTGCTAACCTTTGCTCTCTTTCTTATTTCATTCTACTCCACTTTCTCCATATCATTTTTCTCCCTTAAATGATCCCCCTCTCAATTCTTCACTTCATTTGTCCAGTTTCCTTTATTTTTCTTCCTTGCCTTATCCGTTTCATGCTCTTATCTCCATTATCTTCTTTTCTTTCTCACCTTAATTCTTTTTTTGTTCATTTGACCATTACCACACTTCTCTTTTTATCCTCCTCTTTTACTTTATCCACTTCTCCCTCGCACCCTGTAATTCTTAGGAAAAGGAAGAAAGATGGAGAATGGTTGAAAATTGGAGCTTTGGCCTCTTCTCATTTCTCTACTTCTCAGTTCTACTTTTAATATGTGCGAAACTTTGTTATATAACCCATAAACATCGTCTGCTGTCTTATATTTGATGTCACCCCACAGACACTTTCGTATTTAATAACGACAGACATTCGATGACACATTGAGAAACTTTTTGGTTAACAAAATTTCAGGGCGTGCTTCCTAGTTAATATATATAACCACAATCTTTTTACCTAATCGAAGCAGAAAAGATTAAAGCCAAAAGGAATTATGGAAGCTCCAGTCCAGACAGTAAGGGGAACTAAAATTGGGAAGACCATCATTAGCTTTTGGTTGGCATTGCTGTCTATCATCGCTGTTTCTTGGCACACTCGCAGGAGTCGGGGGGAGGGGGGCCTGAGGGGCTGCACCCCTAAGTTTTTGATGAATATTATGATAATAATGTTGTGGCACCAAAGATGACAGTGACAAAGTACCATAATGGATACCCTGAATGCCAGAGCCTCATGAATCCGTCTCATAGCCGTGGAACCGTCATGTTTTCTGGCCCAATGCCCTCGTCTAGTAGGAAGACTTTATCATCTGGGTCCCTCCCCTTGCCTTATAAGGCCAATGAAGCTCTTCTCATTCCAAATTCCACCGAAATAGATGAATGAGGTTTGACTGACTCCGATGACGTCATTATTGGCTTTATGTTTTGCGATTTCTAAGCCAAGGAGAGCAACCCCTAAATACGAACTATTTAGGCTAAGGTGAAATTCAGGTTAGGCCATCCTTTTGTAAAGTTATTGAGAAATCAAGCTTTTAGATGGCGCTAGAGCAAGGCGAGGGGTAAATCACTCTAAAAAATCTCGTACATCTTTTGTGAAAATCCTATTGTTTTATCTGAAAATCCCCAGAAATCCTTTTGTCTTAGACAAAATCTCGTACGATATTTGCATAAGTGAATTGCCCCTCGGAGCAGCAAGGGGTGGGCTCGAGACAACGACAGATTCATCATCATCAGGTACCATCTTCTATCAGAAGGTTGGCTACCATGACCCTCCAACTATCCCAAAATTTGAGTTTTGGTTTGTTGTCATGGTCATAGATAAAACTAAGGGGCTAATAGTAGAGATGGGCCCCCACAACCACATCTACAGTGTTTTTAAAGGGACACCATCCCTCTTTCCAGGAGTTCTTCCGCCCGAAGCCGTTGACCACTGGAGTACAAAGTATTGAAAAGATCGTTTCGTTAGTACAGTCTTTTTTAATGAAAACACACTTTCTAAGAGCACCGAGGCTCGATTTGCCCAAAAAATAAGAACAGGCTAGAACATGCCCAGCTTCAGATGAGAAATTGAAAAAAACAATTCGCATTTTGAAATTCGCAAGCACTTAACTACTGTACCGAAATTCTCTTGACAAAAAACTTTGATGAGTTTGTCCATAAACACTAGCAGTCATTGCTTTTTTTTTAAACTTTACCCAGTAAAACGTCTCAGAAACGATATACAATATGTAACTTCTCAAATATTTGCAAAAAATCACTCTTAAAATAAGAACAATTTTAAGAACATTTGAGCCTAAAATTATCAAAAGTTAAGAACATCGAGGCTCGGCAAAAGTTATATGGTTCTTATAAAAAAAGAGTGTAGGCTTTTTTTAATTTTTGTGTCTATTTTCCAGGAGGTGCTTGGTCCTGCCCTGGTGTATTCTATAATCAGGGACTCCGACAAATGCCATGACCCCCTCACTTTTTTGCAATAGTTATATTTTCTCCTGCCCCCCTCCCCCCCACTCTTGGCGTCAGGTGTACCCTGTTGGGGCCTTTCAGTGAAAGTGCTGAGTATTTGAATTGATATGAACAGCGATACCCTTCCTGACACTAAACTTTAGCTGAGGCGGAGAAAGAGCTCGGACTTTGAAAACTGTACACCTTAGTGAACAAAATACCCGAAAGAAGGCTAAAATATTGCTTAGGCCGTCTTTCTACTACCGCTCTTCGTGGTTCTGCGTTTAATGACGTTATTATGGCGACTAAACTTGTTCAGGAGATTGCGGTACAGAAAATGAGTCTGTTTTTAACGTTTCCTTGACATAAGCCGAATCAACAGAGCCACACGCGGTACAGAGCAATCGACCAACGAAGAAACGTTTCTTTGTGTATATTGTCTCCGCCGGCTTGTTTACACACCGCGCGCCGAGTAATCGCGCCTTGGGTATGCTTTTCGTCTTTGCTAACAAAAGGCCATGTTGCGATCATAAAACGTGTTGTCTTTGTTTAAATGCGTGGTCTCATTGTTCTTTAAGACAATACAAATCGAATGTTTGCACCACGAGATTAGAATCCAGAACAATAGAAAGTGACAATTACATATTCTGACCAATAGCCTCACAGCAAGTCATTTTCTATTGTTTACAAAATGGGATAAAAATAAGCTATTCAAACACTTTTGAATCGAAATATGCAGGGGGGCGTAACCTTGCATTTTCAATGGTG